GTCATAATTTCTGTGTGATGGTGCGTAACTTACCACAGCTTGCAGCTGAGATTCAGGACGACTGAAGACGTGAAGGTTCCCCTCAGTTCTCTGTGTTGACCTCGAACACGTACGATCTCTCTCTCGCTCTCTCGCTCTCTCGCTCTCGCTCTCTGATTTCCTCCGAGTCAGAAGAGATCTTAAGACTTTTTCTTTCACATTTCCGGCCGCACTCGTAAACATCGCTCTCTCGACTTCAACCTTCAGACTCAAGCCATAAAACTAGTCCAATGTCGACGCTGATACCGGCCTTATCAAGTCAAATTCAGTTTGTTGAACTCTTTAACATCCACCTCCATCGGTTCAGGTGTGTTCTCTGCACCTTAAAATCAGGGTTTTCCTTTTGGAAACGATCCTTCGAGTCTGATTTATCGACACATACGGAGGAAACACGCGGCGTCTCAGTAAGAGAGCGTCACACGCGTCAGTCCAAATGTGTTTCATCGCGTTGAGTTCAGGGCCTGTTCAGTATTTTTATATGCGTCACAGAGCATGATAGTTTGTTTTTTTTAAATTGTATGTATTTCATCATGAGATTCAATCATCACATGACGGCCTCTGATGACGCTGCGTTCATGTCATGTCAGATTACTGTAATTACCAGTTTCCCCACTTGTAAATAGTATTTACATCAAAACTTGAGTCGTAATTGTGAACATGGACGCCTCGCACCGGTCAGAGTCAGTGGTCCTAATGTGGACCATGCACGGGATATTTTAACCCTCTCATGACCGAATCTACCATCACACCGCCGCCTAACACTCAGAGGAGGGATCTCTAATCGCTGGGTTTAAAAGCGTCACCGGTCGTCACTTTGTTTATTTGAGGCGAGAAGTTTCAGTTGCACCTGATGAGCCGTGCTGCCTCACCAGACGAGACTGCTGCCGCTTCAACAAACTGACACTTTAAATCTCATCCCCCACCGCCGCCACCGCCGCAGCTCTGTAGGAGGATTTTCCCATCCATTGCTAAGGGAGGCGTTCTCCATTGTGCAGCTTCTAATGATGATTGTAATGATGGCTTGTCCATCTTTGATAAGAAGCAGCACGCCCCTCATTAAAGGGCCCGGGGCCCCGGTTCTCATGGCTGCCGGTCCTTCCCCCGGAGTCGGACAGCAGGCGAGGGGAGGCGAGACGACACCCGTGGCACACGCCTGTTGACCGAGCCACAAAGCAAAAGCGTGTGACACTCGCCCCACCCCCGCCGCTCCCATTGTCCCTCATTGTCTCCCATGAGTCGCCAAGAGACAAGACCAATCCTGTTACCTCCCCTCGCCTCTCACCCCCCTCCCTCCCCCGCGACCACCAAAACCACAACACATCATATTGCTGACCAAACACAAACACAACACACACACACACACACACACACACACACACACACACACACACACCCCTTCATCCTTTTGCTCTCTCCCTCACAATCAATTTTACCAATCAGCTGATCTCTCTCTCTCTTTCTCACACATCCACCAGGTTCCCCTCTCCCCCTTCTTCTCCCGCCTTCACCAACCAACCCCCCCCCACCCCCACCCCCCCATCAGCTGCTATGTAAGGTTGAAATCCATCATTGTGTGTAAAGAAGGTGCTCATGCACGCTGCACAGCCATTACCATACACACACACTTAGTGGGGTGTATTTTTGAGGAGGGGGGTGGCGGCCTGATTGGTCCAGCAGGTTTAGGGTGAGGTAGGGTGAGGTAGGGTGGGGGGGGGGCTCTAATTCACTGATTCACATGCAGACAGTATTTCTTGGTGGTGCTGGAGGAGGGTGTGGCAGGTGGGTGGGGTCTGGGTTTTAGGGATGCTGGATGGTGGTGCTGATGGTCGTGGGACGGAGGAGAGAAGAGGAGGAGGAGGAAGGGGGGAGGCACGGGGTGATGGGGAGGGAGGCCGCGTGGGGGGGGGTTGCAGCGGCTGCTGGGGTCAGGCCTGTGTGTCCTGGGAAAGTTGGGTTCTCCATTTAAATCTGCACATGTTGCGGCCTTCTGGTGGCTGCGTGAATGCGCACGGTGACAGATGGCCCCGGCCCATAACTATAGAGTCCGAGCAGCCCGGTCCCCCGGGGGGAGAGAGAGGGAGAGAGAGAGAGAGAGAGAGAGAGAGGGAGAGAGAGAGAGAGAGAGGGAAAGAGAGAGAGAGAGAGGGAAAGAGAGAGAGGGTGCAGGGGAAGAAGAGGAGAATGTAGCGCTCAGCTGATCCCATCAAAAAGAGAGATGAGGGAAGGAGGAAAGGCGGGAGAGGGGTGGAGGAAGGGGATGACAGTGTGCGTTTGTGTGTTTGTATATATATGTGTGTGTGTGTGTGTGTGTGTAAATTATAACGGGGGAGGGGCGGGTCCTTAATCCCAAACTCTAAATTGAGTTAATGTATTTGCCTGGTCTGCAAACTCCAAAAGGAGGCCCAGGGTCCCCAAAGATCCTGATTAGGTGTCTAGTTTATCAGATGTTGGAGGAGGAGGAGGGGGGGGGCTGTTTGTACATGAGTAGAATAGCAGCTTTGTATGTTGTGTGTGTGTGTGTGTGTGTGTGTGTTGACAGGGTTATGGGTTTCTGGGTCTGGTGCCAGCTCCTGGTGCAGGGCCGCTCCATGTCTCCATTCACAGAGTTGGTGGATCTCTGTTGTTTTTCACTGACTCCTGGTTAATCCTGTTAAGCAGTGATGTCAGCGCCTGGTTAAAGATTATTTTTAGCAGATTTGCAGCGTCGAGGAGCCGAGAGACGTCTGCCTGTATGACGACCAACTTCAGTCTCAGGACTTTTCTTTTTTTTCTTCTCGTCCTCGTGTTTCACTGAGCGTTTAAGATTTAGGGTTTTGATTTCCTGCAGTTTGAGATGAACAAGGACATTTTCTCACTCACCTCTGCTGGGATCCGGCCGTGCACATGAGTTTGGTTTAAGAGGGAAGAGACTCCTGGAACCTGGAAATGAACAGAATTGACTTAGTGGTGAAATAATGAAGGATTTTCTTCAAACTGGAACAAAATGAATCTTTGCGGGTCGAACGGCAGAAACAGTTGCTGTCACTTGTTCTGCTGCTTCCACTGAGTGTGACTTGTTTCTGTGGCTTTTCTTGCATGAACAGAGTCAGACACACAAAAACAATATCAATAGAAATAAATGATGCACAAATAAACATAAAATAAAGTTAAAGGAAAGAACGTGTGCAAAGACAAAAGGTAAAACAATTAAAAAAAAGAAGATACTGAATCTTAAGATGAGAAGGATGTTTGGATATTTGTGTGGACACATGGGGAGCTACACACACTGGGGCTGTGCATGTGTGTGTGTGTGCGTGTGTGTGTGTGCATATGGTGGGAGTGAAACCACACACACACACTCACACTCACACTCACACAGTGCTGCTTTGCTGCCATGTTGTCGCTCTGCAGCCTCCTGGAGAAGTGGAGACACATGAAGAGAGCAGATGGGTTTTTTTTTGTTTTTTGTTTTTGGAAGCGTTTTGCTCATCGTCTGTGATGAGACAAGAAAAAAAAACGAGGTTAGTTTAATGTCTCAGGTCGTTAACAGCCTCTTAACAGAGAATCAATCACAGTCTTCAGTGGTTACTAATGTTCCTGTCTCACAGCTAAAGACAAACTTGTATCTGAAAATTAAATTCTATATATTTTATATCGTATAAATATCTAAAGTAATTCTTTGTTTAAAAGGCAAATGAATCTCATGTGAATCTGAAGGAGCTGCCAGCGGTCAAATAATCTGTCAAGTAATCAATAATCTGTCTCCTTTTTTATTTAGCTTGAATGTCCTGAGATGCTCACATGAGCCTGTGTCAGACTCCCAGGTCACTTCACCTGCTAAATAAAATTCCCTCGCACGTCAGAGACTGTTTCAACTATAATCTAACGTCTGAATGTTCCTCGTGCGCTTCCTGCACGGCGAGGATCACAAAAAACAAACAAAAAAAACACCAGGGGCAGAAAAGATTATTTCCTGCCCCCCCCCCCCCCCCCGTGTGTTTACTGCAGCCTCCTCTCTCCTCTTTTGATGTTTTAATCTGTTTTCAGCTCCGGGCTCTTTATCTCTCTCACTGTGGAGGCTCTGCTGTTTATCTGCTGGTGACAGTGATGAGAAATGATGATTCATGCTGCATCCACTCCTGCTTCCTCGGCTCAACCACTTCCACCACTAGGGGGCGCCAGTGCGCCACATCACCTCACCATATCTCGCTATAAACAACCTGCTGGTCTATTGAATGGATGTTATAAGACATGAGTAATGAGTCAGAATGAGAAATAAGAAGCTAAACAGTTTATTTATATGATGCTCTAATAGATTCTTTCATTTATTTGTCATTTATTTGATTTTTATTCTGATTTATTCTGCAGGATTGTGACTCAGGCTCCATCTGAGAAGTTGTTTTTTTTATGGTTTATTATAATTTATTGGACAAACAAAAGTTGATATTGAGCTGCACTGTATGTAATCACTGCCATTGGTTTCTGTGATGTTACAATTGGAGATTTAAATGAACCAGTTGAATTAATGCAGAAAAAAAGACTCAATAACTATATGAATTAACAATAAATATGAAAGTTTGGAGTTTCATTTGCATCTCGTAATTGGCTAAAGAGGGAGACATGCTGTATATATCGGATAAAGGTTTTCTGAGAGCTTAGTTCATTTCACTTGGAAAGCTCTGGAGCTTCATATGGCGCGCTGCGCGGTAAGCCTCTTAGGAATCACGACCACAGCAGATGCAGGGAGAATGCCAATCAGGAGCTCCCGCTGAGCGGAGAAACCCGACGGCTGTGCCACTGTGCGCGTCCAATCTCCGCCACGGTTCGCACACAAGACACTTCGACGTCGTCTGGAGCTTTACAGTTTTGCAGTAAACAACCCAAACTGGTCCGTGGAGGATGGAGCGCGCGGAGAGTCTCCAGCGACTCTGATCGGTGAGGCGACTAAAACAAATACTCCCCCCCCCCAAGGTGAAGAAACCATGCTGCCTCAGGAAGTCGGGAAGCAGAAGCCCCGCCGTGTGTCGGACCCGGTGTGCGGAGGAGACTTCCCCCCGGTCCCGCCGCGGCGCTTAAAGAACCGGGACTTCCCGCTGAGCGTGAAGCGCCGGCGGTCCGGTTCCGCACCTGAGCGCAAGGTGAACTGCGTCCTGGTTGGAGACGGAGCGGTGGGAAAGACCAGCCTCATCGTCAGCTACACCACCAACGGATACCCGACAGAATACGTTCCCACAGCGTTTGACAACTTTACCGGTAACCTGTCTTTTCTACGTAGCTGTTACGCACAGATTTTTACGCACACCTAAAATGAAATTCCTTTTTTATCTAGTTTGGTTTTCTTTTAGTCAGTCATGTGCCACGTTTGACTGTGATTAAGCTCGTACAAGACAATCAATACACTGTCTGTTGACTTCCTCAGTGATGGTTGTGGTGGACGGGAAACCAGTGAGACTGCAGCTCTGTGACATGGCCGGACAGGTGAGCTGCACCTTCCCAACCTCAGGGCATCAACATGATCATAGAGTAAACCTTTAACACACCTGAACACGTGACCTCTGTAAACGTGCATTTACACATTTCTCTGTCGCCCTGCTCTGTCCCGACAGAAATGGGGGCTGGTTGATGGATCGATCAATGTAAGTGATCAGTGATCAATAAGCGTTTGTCCTACACCTTGCTGTGTTTGTGTTGGTCGCCCCCTGCAGCCGGCTTTTAGACGTAGACTGAAATCCCCTCAGACCCCTTTAGTTTGAGTTGACTACGGCCCCATCAGCCCTGTAACCCCACAGTCAACTTCTGCCCCCTGCAGGAAGACAGTGAGCCCCCCCCCCACCACCACCCCTCTGTCACCCTGTGCTCCATCGCCCTCATTTGGTTCAAACACAGAGTCCCTGTAAACAGTTTTTATTGGGACTATTTCTTTAGTTTCTTTACTAAAAATAATTCCCAGACACCTGGGCAGATTAAACTAAACCTCTCAGCACAGCCGGACGCAACCAGAGAAACAGGCGCTAATTTTTAATAATTCAGAGCATAAACACACAGTTTTAAATGTGTAAATCAGTTTAGATCTGCAGGTACGTGAAAACTGTGCATTAAAGCCTAGATTGATTCTGAACATCCAAATCCTCTTATAAATTTGAATGTTTTAGATTTTTATATTTGTGAAAACAGTTAAAAAAAAACAGTTTTTTCCTCTGTGATGAGCAGGTAAGACCAGATGAATCTAGGTATAGATCAAAACCCACCTTCATCCATCAAACCAAGTCTAGACTAGTTTTAAATTTAGTGTTTTAAGAACTGTTTCAGATTTGTGGACAATTAAACGACAGAAAAAAGAGTGAATCTTAAGCAAAGAAAACAAAAATGTGTGATGTTGCCATTAGATTTATCTTAAAGTAATAAAGGGGTCTGATATTTGAAAGATAAGATTGGCAAATATTCTATATTTTTACTTTAAATACTCACTAGAGCTCCAAATGTGGATTAATCCACCAATGAAAATAGTCCCCAATATATGAGCTTTTTCCTGCTGTGAGAGAAAGTTTGATGAAAAACTTCAGTGACCGGCTGTTTAGGGAGATGACGGCGTTTTTAAAGAAACAAAACGATATATTTGTGACCGGTTTTTCAAGAGTAACGCCCTGAGTACGAATGGACTGACCACTGTAGGGAAGTCTGAAAGGATTGAGAGAAGGACCAACACGTTAATTTCTGGTCTTCTTCATGGGATTGGTTCACAGCAGGGAAGACAGAGTGACACCAGTGTCCGCGTTGAGTCTAACCTGACGTTTCTTTGCTTCATGAAGGACGAGCTGGAGCGCCTCCGGCCGCTTTGCTACAAGAACGCAGACGTCTTCCTCCTCTGCTACAGCGTGGTCCGGCCCTGCTCCTTCCGTAACCTGATCGACAGGTGGGTCCCGGAGATCCGTCAGCACTGTCCCGGCGCCCCCTTGATCCTGGTTGGCACCCAGCTGGACCTGAAGGAGGACGTCCAGGTGCTGATCCACCTGGCAAAGAACCAGGAGCGGCCGGTGGACACCGAGGAGGGCCAGCGGCTCGCCCAGGAGATCGGGGCGGCGAGCTTCGCGGAGTGCTCGGCGCTCACCCAGAAGAACCTGAAGGACGCTTTTGATTCGGCCATCTTGGCCAGCATCCAGCTGACAGACACTAGCAGCGTCCAGCAGCAGAGGATGACTCTGAAGAGGAAGACGCCAGACAAGATCAAGAGCCTCTCAGAAACCTGGTGGAGGAAGATCAACTGCCTGATGGGAGAGCAGAGCTGTGAATTCAAGTGACCGACGGCATCATCACAAACATGGGCCAGATAACGTTTGCAGATACTTAGATTTGGTTTTCACCTGCTGAGAGACGGTGCAGGGTGGGTGGTGCAGCCCCCCCCCGCAAAACTGGCAAAATTATATTACGAGGCTGCAGCAGCAGATAAGCATCTTTATTAGTACAAAAATGCAATGTAGGTTTGTTGAATTATGGGAAATGTAGTACCCAGAGACCTTTGAGCCCAGCACATACTAGGGACTAAAAGGAGGACGTCTCTGCCTCTGCTGCATCGATTTTTTTCTTTCCATCTTTACTTAAGTGCGATACTTAAATTGCTGAAGACTAATACTGTTGAGTGTATAAAGCCACTGAAAAGAAATCAGTGCGGTGTGATATTCAATAAGGCACCATGCAGAATTTAAACACACTTCCTGATAGTCCTGCATGTAGTCCTGGTTCGCACATGAAATTAACTTCACATTGATCTTGTTAGAGTTGCATCTTTCTACCTCATCCCCCTCGATTTCTTTTTTACTTTGTTTTTTATAAACACATATAAAGGAAGCGTTATATGTGCGCGTCTTTTCGCTTCCTGACCCGATTCTTTTCCGAGCGTTTTCCTGATGCTGTTAACCCCACCCACCTGAGGCTCACCGCAGATTAAAACCAACACCACAAATGTTACTGGACCCACGTGTGTCTCGATAAAGATCTTGACTTTTGACTTGTAATTTTTACACCCCAACACTACTCGTACTTTGTTTGACTAGTTAGTAGGTAATTAATTTATTTCTATATGTATTTATTTATCATTATTATTATATTGTGATCATTCACCTTGCCATCACTGATCATGGAAGAATGTTCAGAAGCCTTGATTAAAGTTGTCAAAAGGAATGTCTCGGGCTCGTCACTTGCAGGTAAATCAAATGTCAAACAACGTTTCAGTCAGTGTGAAATGGGGAACGTGACTGTGCAAACCTTCAGTGCACTCAGTCCCCACAACTTCTGCCCTTCATCCATCACTGTATGATCACAGGACGTCAGCTCTGGGATCCTCCTGACCAGCAGCACAGACATTCATCTTCACCTAAAAAAAATAAATATAAATAAATAAATCAGATCTGGAGTGAGGCAGTCAGAGGAAAAGCCTGTACAGGAGGAATTGCTCATAATCTCTTGGTAAGCTAAAGATCAGTTTGCTCAGCTTTCCTCTCTGATTCGGTCGGACTGGTGGAGGCTCCTCTGGTCGCAGCCTCGACTAATAGGAGCAGACAGGACCACCTGGACTGGATTAGACCAGCATATGGAGCCTGATTCTCTCCCCCAAGGAGGCATCACACCTTGAAGAGCACGAGAGGCAGATTCCTCCCCCCCTCAGGGGTTTATCTGGTTCTTATGCACAAACAGGAAGTAAGGAAAATTTATTTATAGCCCATCAAAAACTGAGTTTACAAATGACCTCATGAGGGACTCGCATACATTCACTAGAGATTTACTCTGACCCTGAATCTGTATCCTGTACAGACTGTAAAGCCCCTTGATGCACATGTGTAATTTGTGATATTGGGCCATATAAATCTATTCTGACTTGACCTTAACCTTGACCCTAAAATACCCCAGTCTGGACCCTGTGACTGATGCAAACTGTATTCACCACAACACAATTAATACACTTCTAAAATACAAACAAACAAACAAATAAATAAATTAAAACTGTTCTAACCCCAGTGATAAAGCTGAAAACAAATGTGTTTTGGAAGATTCCTCCATGAACTTCACTAAACTACAACTATAAAATCTTAATAATTAGTCTAATAATAAATATAATTGTGTTCTTAATATATATTACAGGATATCTCATGAAAACTGTAATTTCAAATACAAAATATAGTTTGGCATTAAACAAACAGGTAATTGTGATATAAAGTAATGATAAAAAATTATTGAGAAAATGAATTAATGGCAAATAATAATAGTTAATATAGTGGAATAATTTAAACATGACACATTTTAAATAAACTGTTTTTAAAGATCAAAAACGTTGATGAATCGCATTAATGAAATTAAGGGTGTTTAGTATTTCTATTCTTCATCATTTTAATTTCCTTAATTTTACATAATTTATAACTGACCTGTGTCATGTTCAGCCGCAGCCTGTCCACAGACAGGCCTGGACAGGAGGGTTAGGTTTAACAGGTGGCCTGATTCCACCTGGCCTACATTCTCCACAACAGACACACAGACAGCTTGAGAGATTTTACAGACAGGTGTGGTTACTTCTCTGGACATCTGGTGACGGCCGCTGATCACCTGCGCACCTCCAGTCCCCGAAGGAGTGTTTATATTTTACACAGCAGATACAAACTACTACCTACTACTACGTCAACTGCATGAATTAAATGTTATTTCTGCCCTTTGTGATTGTAAATTCCATTAAGGAAGACTGAAGGAATTAGGTTGTTTTATCTGCCACATGAAGTTTTACCACTAAAGAACAAAGCTGATTCGGAACAGGCAGAGTTGCCACATTTAAAATGTAGCACTCATTTCACACCAAAACTGTGTGATGGTGCAAAAACTTTGCTTTGTCTTTAATTAAATAATTAATTAATTAAATTAAAACCCATCTTGGTCTGAAGGTGGCACCAGAGGAAAGACTGTGTTTTTAAAGTGGCTGTTTCAGGATTCAGCTGGTCATGGTTAAGCTCTACACTGCCAGACTTCCAGAGTGACGTTAGCCCTGTGTGATTATTGATTTGAATCAGGAGAGTATGTTCTGTCCTTGAATACATCTACATATATAAATAAAAATTAAATATACAGTCCTTGATTTTGATAATAAATATAATTCCAAAAATGTCACAGCTCATTCAGTTATTCATTCATCCTCTGCCACTCCCACCTGCCCCTCCCACCTTTCAGCCACCTGACTCCTACCCACCAACCTACTCACTTGTTCTACTTTCCCCAACTACTTCCTGGTCTGTCTCAGACTGTCTGAATGTACACTAATTGTCATAAATGAACGTACTGAATTCATTGAAATTTTCCCTGATGGTGGCATGAGATTAAATTCACAAGATAGACCTTGAATCTGTCCGACAACTGTTGACACATTTCACTCCAAACCGTAGAATGTCAACCTATGTGGTGCTATACCGTAAAGGAGTCACCCACCATAAACATGTGCGCACAATCTCATGGCAATCATATATGTGTTTACGAATAACCACAAGTCAATTTATAAGTTTCTTAAACAGCCAACGGGTAAATCTGTAGTAGAGTGTTTAGAATCAGTGAAACATAAGATATAAATATTCAGTACCTGCCACACAGAGTTGGACAACGACAAATCCACCGCATGCTGCTTTAAAACACACATGGTTGGTTGGTTCTCTCCTCTCTCTTCTGTGGCTTAAGACAATTTAAAACACATCAGCAGTTAAACGACATACATGAGAAATCAAGAAATACAACTGACATATTTATGTAGCCTGGTAAAAGATGAAAACTATATTCTCTAGTAGTGGTAAATTCATTTGGAGTCTCCACTTTGGTTCAGATTTAACAGAGATTTTTCTAAACAAGCAAAGTTCCAACTTCATGCACAAAGCCTCCCTTTGTGCTGCAGCTCATTTTGCAAACGTCTGAATGATCCCACACATCTCAGTGACTAACACACCTAGCTGAAGTGCATCAGTACCATCTAATAGAGTGACTAGAAGCCTATGATAACTTAAAGCGCCTGAACACTGTATCTACGTCAATAAGTTCAGTTCAGTGCAAAAGTTTATGGTTCATCACATAAACCCAGTTAACTCAATGCATGCAGTGCATTTGGAAAGTATTCAGACACCTTCCGTTTTTTCACATTTTTTTATGTTTCAGCTTTATGCTAAAATAAAATAAAAAACCTGCAAATGTATTAAAAAGGAAAAACTGAAAAACCACAGTATTCAGATTCTTTGCTGTGACACTTGAAATTTAGCTCAGGTGCCTCCCACGTTCATCTTTGAGATGTTTCTACACCTTGATTGGAGTCCACCTGCGGTGAATCCAGCTGATTGGACATGATTTGGAAAGGCACACACACCTGTCTCTATAAAGGTCTCCGGGCTGACAAGGCAGATCAGAGCGAACACGAAGACATGAGGAGGAAGGAGCTGCCTGCAGAGCTCAGCAGGGTTGTGTGGAGGCTCAGATCTGCCCAGAGGAAAAGAAAACCAGCAAAGAGAGAGAGAGACTCAGAAAATCTCAGATTAGTCTCAAATGAAAGCTCTGAAATAATTCTCAGATTTTCTCAACTTTTGTGCCTCTTATTGATCTCAGGCAAGAGAAATCAGAGCGCTACCTCTATGAACTCAATCTATTCTCATCCTACCCTTTTAATTTCACAATTCCATACAAAGGACACAAAAACATTTCTCCTGCACGGTGGCCTCCATAATTCTTAAATGGAGAGATTTTGCAACAAGCAGGACATCATGAGAGAAACTTCCACCTCCACAGTGTAGATTTTTATTTTAGCATAAGGCTGCAACATAACGTGACAAAAAATAAAGGGGTCTGAACATTTTCTGAATGAACCGCAGGTGCATAAACTGCGGTAGCTCTTTACACTCTGTCCTCGGGCTAGCTTAAGCTTTTTGGCGGCAAAACCATCCACCTTGTACAGTCAAAGGTAAAACGTTTTCAGCCTTGTGTTCCTCCCTGAAGTCACTCGCCACACGTGGACAAAATCAATCAGGAACTCGGCAAACGATCCACGATGAAAAACAGGTGAGTCGCTTCCACTTCCGGTTTTGCTCTCGCGCCATCGCCTGCTCCTCTTCTTCTTCTATGATGTTTTACGGCAGTTGGCATCCAAAATGTTGCATTACTGCCACCTACAGCTTACTTTCCCTCAACATCCGGTCAAATCAAATGCGTTTTTTTTCCAGTCCAGTCATCCTTAGAAAAATAAATAATATTTTTTCTCTCTGAGCAGTGTCTCCTTTTCTTAGCGATTATAATAATTAACTAATAATAATAATAATAATAATAATAATAATAATAATTCAACATTGACCTCAACAGTATTCTTTTTTTATCTGCTTCCTTTGCCAGTTTATCTGCTCTCTCTTTTCCCATAATGCCTGAATGTGCAGGAACCCACGTGAATGTGATATTTTTCATTTGACTATTGTTATTTTTGAATAAGCGACCAGTATTTCATAAAGAAAATCCTGATGACATCGAAATCCAAAGCCCACAATTAATGACCAACCAATAACCAATCAGTGAGATATTTAGTTCACCAAAATACAATATCCAATGAAATGTAAAGTGTAAAGGTCTGTGGTCGTGACACAAACTTACTAAAGACAGATTTCCTTCCTCTAATAATTAAGCTGATAGAAAATGTACATTTACATTTACAGCCAGAAAAATATCTGTCATCCCTTCATGTTTCTGCCGATCCAATTCACCCCTGAACTGTGAAGACTTGAGTTCAGAGACAGGGTTGAAGGGAATATAATTGTAATATCAGAACAGAAGGATAAATGTGGATTGTATTTGTCTTCATTAATTGTACAGAAAATAATCTGTTATGATAAATAGAAACTAATTGTTTAAAGCTGGAATCCAAAACTTTCTGCACACTGTCGCCCCCTGCAGCAGGAAGAGGGAACTACAACAAACTCCAGCGTTGTGGAAGCTGCCTGTTTAACTCAATCAACCACTGCAAAACTTGGAAAATGTAACATTTAACCAAGTGTGATACTACTGACCTTGTCTTAGATTTCAATACAATAAAACACACTAAATGCTGTGAATTCAATGTGTTTTGAATTGACTTTATTGACGTCATCAAGCAAGACAGGTGTGATCAGTATCTCAAAGTGATAATTGAAATTTAAAATAACATTTTTCATACCAGTTGTAATTCTAAACATGTAAAGTAACGACTCAACTCAAATTTACATTACATTCACATTAAACACTTTAAAAGCAAACAGGTTTTGCACCAAAGTGCTTCACCAAGACAGACATATGTGTATGTGCATAACAGATGTTATGACTTGGGCTGAGGACCTGGGAACATGTTGGGCCAGAAGTTTCACTTTGCTATTTGGGAGTCAAGGACTTTTTTTCTGCTACATGCTGTTGCTGACTGAAAACTGAAAATGAAAAGGTTTTGAAGTTGAAGATAAATGTATCTACTCCCCCACATCCTCTTCGGCCTCGCTCTCCACAGTGAAAGAGGTGGGGGAGTCATTTTGCAGAAGTTGATTTCAGTCTTTTCTTCCATTCAACAGACTCTAACCTGACTGCACTTTACATCCAAGCTCCCTGCTCCTTCGTGGCTTCTCTGTGCGCTGCAGTGACGGCCCCCAAGTTCGAGACTTCCTCATACACAGGATAAGAGCCCATCTGATAGAGAGAGCACAAGATGAGACTCATTTTATCTCAGATATCCTTTACAGTGTTTAAAGTTAAGTTCTTCCTTTTAAATTGTTCTTTGGCACAATTGAAATCAGTAGTAAATTCTAAACATCATGGTATGATTTGTCACTAAAGCCCAAATGTCTCTCACCTCTATAGTCTCCTCATAGCCCTCATTTGGTTCAGTGGTGGAGCTGTGAGTTTTTTTCTTCCTGAGTAGGTTAGTAGAGAAAATGCTGTTTGTGAAGTCAAAAAATCTTTTTTAAAATAAGAAATAAGATCTTTTAAAAACAGAAGAGCTGAGATGGAAGTGATGGATTATTGTTGTTGTACCTCCTCCACAGAGTCCACAGAGGCAGAGGAATCAGCATCAGGACCACCAGAGTCAGCCTGATGATGTTCATTATCAGCGCTGAGTTCCCTAGAAACAGAGAAACTGTAAATATATGAAATTTGTGTGAACAGTAGAATTAGTTAAATTACCAAGTGATACTATCTGTTAACTCGGTGTCATCAGTCTCTGATATCATAAACAGGACATGCATGTATTCATAGCATCAGTTAAGGTTTGTTCTGTATTGAAGTGTGAGCTTTTCTGCGTTGAATTACTGTGTGTGTAGATGAATGTGTGTAACTCACCTGCTACAACAGTCAGATTTAAGGTGGAGTTACGACGTCCTCTTGTGTTCTGGGCTTCACAGTAATAATTCCCACTGTGTTCAGGTCTGAGGTCAGTGATGGTGAAGATCTGTCCTGAAGCTTTTGATGAGTCTTCATTCTCCTTGTACCAGGTGTAATTAGCTGCTGGGTTAGCATCACTGCTACAGGTCAGAGTCACTGAACTGCCCTCCACTATCTCACCAGAGGGACTCACTGACACAGAGAGAAGCTTTGGAGCATCTGGAGAAAATTATGGACAAAAATACAACTAAGATTCTGTGTGCAGACCTGATTTAAAGTAAATCACTTCGTATTCTCTGGTTTTTGTAATTGCTATATAAATAAACTTTATGTGTGAAGGATGTAAATTCAAACTTTCTACAGCTACATTTTAAGTCTGCAGCTTGGCTGTTGCTTCTTTTTAACAAGTGTCCAAGTTATTTGCTCACGTTTTCTACTCACACTGGACATCTAAGAATAGAGACGCAGAGTTGATCTGTCCATGTTTATTCTCAGACTTGCAGTAGTAGTTCCCTCTGTCCTCAGAGCTGATGGAGGAGAAATGATAAACTCCTTCTGGTCCTTGAAGCAGTTTTAGGTTCTCCTTGTACCAGGTGTAATTAGCTGCTGGGTTAGCATCACTGCTACAGGTCAGAGTCACTGAACTGCCCTCCACTATCTCACCAGAGGGACTCACTGACACAGAGAGAAGCTTTGGAGCATCTGGAGATTTGTTAAGATTAATTACTAAGTGAGAATGTGTTGCATGATATTGCTCAAAGACTGCCAGGGGAAGCTGAAGAAAGAACTGATAAGTAAAACCTTTCCCTGCAGAAAAGACTTAAAGGAAAAGTTGAATATACACACACTGGCTTCCTTGTTAGACATTTAGCTTAACTTAGCATAAAGACTGCGGCTATCTGCTGTCTAAAGGTAAAAATCTGCCTAGAAACACCTCTCAAGTTCACTATTAACCGAAGTGGAAGCAAGACACACTGTGGGTTTACGGAGGGTTATGTGCTTATTTCTTGATGACAAGACAACAGGAAGTCACTGCAGCTGACTCATAAATAGTCCAGCACATAACCTCCCGTAAAACCACAACTTGTCATTTTTATGTGTGAGGTAAAAACCAAAACGCATGGTGGTAATAGGCTACAGAGAAGGGAAGTTGAATGACTCATAATAGAAATACATGTCTTACACAAAGATGACAGTGCAGTAAACTAAAGGTTCCACCAGATGGCGGTATATCAGTGGAAGAGGGTGAAGTAAACACACTCTGAAGGAGAACGGTGACCCTCCTGTCCTTTCAGAGCACAGGAGATGCTGTTTGCATAATAAAAATATCCTCTATAAGAAGATGTTTCTTTTGGAATTTATTCTCCATTCTTGTACCAGACGTACGGCAGATTATCAGATAGATAACGACCACTGACACATTTATGGTCTGCCCCGGTACACCAAAAAAAATATGCAGTCTGACATTGAGTTCACGTGCACATGGAGATTTGAGTGTGTGACACAGTTAGATTAAACCTACAACATTCATATTTATGTTTTCCCGAAGTTAAAGATTTTGAATTGGAAAAAATATAAATGTTACCTGAGGGTGGCTGAAAGACTTCTGATGAGGTGACAAATCTTCCACCTGTTGTGAACATGAAAGTGAGTCTTTTTTGACTGTCAGAGTTCAACCATTCTTATAACCGTAATGCACACATTCCTCTACAGCTTCATTGCTACAGCATTTTATAAAACGCAAAGTTAAAGATTCCCTCCAGACGTATTTTAACACACATGAAAATACTGTGTATTTTTTGTTTTTTCACAAAATTTGGAAAATATTAACTGCTTCTCTCTCATTGGAAAATTCAGAATCTATTATTATGCAAATTAATTCTCAGTGAATGTGCACATCACACTTGTTAAAGCTGCATATTGAACCGAAGCCTGCTCAGGGGTGAAGTGGAGGGAGGCGATTTTTTAACAAAGGACATAACAGGATTAGAATATAACTATAAATAAAACATGTAAAATTAAAAACATATACACTGAATCTATTCTAAAAGATATTTGCCCTTTGTATTTGTTCAACTAAACAGGGTCAGGGGTGAACAACTCTTTCTTGGTTCCTCTCCTCTCTGTTCACTCTGCGCTGGGCGGCATGTGTTAACAGACTGCTGAGAAATGCAGAACACTGAGGCGGTGGCAATTATTCACTGCTGCTGTGTGACATTTATATAATTCACATGTGCATCAGTGAAACGTGATACTCCACCCAATACCCGTCTTTTAAGCACGAAACACTTTGACTGTGTCGACTTGTGAAGATGGCTCTTTGAATTATGTTGATCGTTGACATGTTTTTATTGTAAAAAATAATAATTTGAAAAGTATTCAAAGAAACATTTTAAGCCCTTCCTATATATAAGTTCTTCAGGAAGCAGTGTCTTTAGACGTATTCTGACAAAAGAAAGAAAGAAGAGAAGAAAGAAAGAACAAACCATGAGCAAATAAATAACATAGATGGAACAGTAAAGAGAACTGTATTAAGCTACAGGGAGGATCTGAGAAGTTTCTGTGCATGTAATGAATCTTTTTTTCTGCTGTGAAAAGTGACAAACACAATTCAAGCTGAATATAGAGCCTCCATTTTAATTATAATTGAACACAACGTGACCACCTCCTTTGTCTCTATTTGTCAGTAAAGCATAATCAAGATTATTTCAAAGTCTTTTTAAAATCAGTGAAATTTTTAAAATAGAAATATACAGTACCTAATGCTGACAAGAGAAAGATGATGAATCCAGTGGCTGCCGCTGTGTAACTCATGGCTGGTCCTCTCCTCTGTCTGTTGTGGCTTCAGAGACGTTAAAATACATGCAGGTATGCACACATTACTACAGAATAGTGTTTTATTCTGTAAAATAATAGAAGATACAGAAAAACTTAACTTCAAAACTCAGAAAAATGCAAAGATCATTTTCTTACAGAGACGTGCTCTACAGACGAAACATGCCTTTTTGGCACTTCTCAAGAGATAAACTGTTAATAAGAGATCGAACTTCCTTCCTCTAATCATGAAACCTATGGTGAATAAATTAAATGTGTGAGAAATAACAAGACCAGCCTTTAGCATCCTGCAGCAACTGTATCATACAGTTTTGGTCTCTGCTTGAAATCCATCCACTTATTAAACTTGAACTTGCTTTACAAAGCTGTATATGTGCTATTTTGTCTATATATTAAGTCCCTGTTGTTCATTGTGATATTGTTATTCTGCTTTCAAAGTACTTTGTAGCATTTTTCTTTGTTTCTTTCTCTTTTTTTATTTTTCAAGAACTCTATTTCAGTTATCTACTGAAATGCGCATGCGCACCAGCCAGCCCCGACCTGTCCTGTGTTGTAATACCACTTTGTGACACTAGACGCTGTGTGAGTCAGCGGAGCGTCAAATCTGCCCTCAGTCCCACGAAGAAGAACAACTTCCGGCAGAGCTTGAGGTTAGCATCACAGAAACACAGGAATGGCTAAACCGCCTAAAGGCGATATTCATCCCGAAGGACCGCTCCCGACAAGAAACCACGTTCAACGGCAAAGAAAAGAAGCAACACGAGTAACTCTGGATGAGGCTTTCCACCGCTGGAGACGGCTCCTGAGAGTAAAGAGATGCGGTTTGATGCCAAGCTCGCAACTGTCCTGTTAGCCTGCCGAATCCAGAAGATGTGTCTTACACACAATGATTATATATTTACAAACTTTGACTGTGTTTAACATCAATTACAATATTAATTGTCATTGACTTTTTTCTTTCCCCTGTTTTCACAGATGAAAAAAGAATTAATTAATTTTAGAAAGATTATCTTTGAAAACCTTTTTTTTCATCTGTTCTTAAGTTCTCATTTGCCTCTCAGGACTTCCACAGTAGTTTGTAAGACGACTAAATGACTGTAGCTCAGACTTGTACTGACTTCATGAATATTCATAATGTGAAGAGGAAGGAATCGTCTTCTTTTATCAGCTTGACTTCTGTCCTCTGCACAGAGGAACATCACCTTCCTCTCTTGTAAGACGA